GGCGAACACGACAGTCATATGACTGCCTCAGCCAATCAGATTTCTCTTTACTTGTGTTTATTTATATGAGGTATAATAAAACTGTTTCCGGCGTGATTCGGCAGATTTACAGGGCATATGGATAGAAATATTATATTTGTGATATAATGGGAATACTTCTTCAAAAATGTTATATCATATTTATATTTCACAGAATTTACGGCAAAAATAAGGGCTCACTTGCGACCGATACGCTGGTAAAAAATGTGTAGTATCATCTACACTGACAAACCTTTGTTTGCTTTATATGTGTATTGTTATTAATGAGAGTATCTTACTAAAAGCAACTGATCAATCGTTGAATGAATAGCAACGTTTACGCCAAGTACATGCTTAAACATTATACTTCGAACACGTGCTTCAGGTTAATCTTTGATCATGTTAAATGAGTGAAAAAAACACAAAAAAATTAAAATGCAAAAAAATCTAATGAACAAAATGCAAAGATAAGAAACTAAGAAAGATGTCACGGGCGTTTGTTATTTGTTGTTAAATTGAAAAATTATGTTTAATAGAATGTAGTTTGTGTCAGAAAGGAATAATGCCCTGGTCGTTTATTGCCCTGATTGACCTATTTACATTTAATTCAAAAATATGAAGTAGCCAAAACAAGTTTCAATTAACTGAAAAAATTAGGATACTAATTGTCTATAAGATTCACGAAAGAAAAAAAATGAAAAAAATGTTTTTATTTTGTTTAATTGAAATATAAAATCAACAGGAGTATTATGCCCTGATTTTGAGGTAAAATGATTTTATGTCTTCATAATATGAAAACTTGTAATAAAAAGCATATTTTCATTATATTTGTTTAATTTCTCTAACAAAATTATTTTTCCGTAGGATATATAAGTGTTTTAGAAAAAAAAGATTTATTGGAAATATCTACCATGTCTGGCTTATAAAACGCTTTTGATTAGTTAGAACTGGTACATTGTATAATGTCCAGATTTAGTGCCCTGAATTTTTCTTATGACCTGATTTTTACACCTACATGTATGTCAAAACCTTTTCATTGAAATTAATGGAAACGAGATTTTAAAAAAATAAATTCATGTTCATTTTCAATCATTCAATTTATTTTCTTAAATATTCTTAATTTTAAAGTTGCTACACTTGATATGTACAGATATAGCACATTGATGTACCAGGTACATTTTATTGTAGAACTCCAGAATCCAGAATTCTAGTATTTTGTGCAAAGATTTTTTTACATAATGCAAAATCTTAGAAAACTTTGATCGATTTAGAGAAATGTATAAGAAATACATTTTTAAGAACAATTTTAATTATTTGATGTACTAGCTGCGGTATAGCCAAATTTATTATTTTTAAATGTTCAATAGAAGGGAAAATACAGATATTTTAGATATGCCTATGGGAAAGGTAAAATTGTAAACTTGTGGGTAAAGATAGTTTTTTAATTTGTAATTTCTTGAAAATTTATACATGTTTATTGTTTTAAAAGTTACAAGCATTCACATATTTAAGGAAAAATTTGTAAATTAAAACAATATCTTATATAACAAATTCAATAACCGGTATGTTAGTCAGATGTGTTTCTTTTATATTCAGTAATACGTCAAATGAATTAAGTATGTTTGTTGACAATATGATTTTAAGTATGATAAAAAAATGATTGGTATAAGCCGATTTTTATCTACTGCTATTCTACAGCAAGGTTCAGACTGTAAAACAAAAATATGCACTGTTTGGATAGTCATATATACATTGCTTTTTATTATTTGTCTGATAGTGCCAAAGGGACACAGACCACATGCCCCCTTTTACTACCTCCCATATATGGCTTCTGTAATTATCACCTGTGTAATCCCAGTCAACAATGTTCTGCTGATTGCAGATTTCATAAACAAACCTTACAGAATGTTTAACTACTGGTATTAACATATTTTCAAAAAAGACAAAATTATTAATGTGATTTTGTATACTTATACCTGTAAATTAATGAAAGATTTGATTTTGTCCTAAAATTATTATGTACTAAATAATTTAATAAACTTTCTATAAAAATATTTTCTGAGGCATATTAAGATATTGTTCTAATTTTTTTATTTTAGACAAAAATGTAAAAATATTTGATAGAAAGCTTTCATTCAGAATGTGTATTCATGGATACACAATTTTAAGTTAAATTCTTTCCAAACATGACATTTCCTATGTTGAAAATTATATATCGCATAATAAACTATAATCTTATTATTTATATTTGATTTGGTAATATATATATATTATGTTATAATTGATTTCTTAGACACATGTGTATTGAAATATGAAGTGTGGTAAAGCTTTGTAATAAGTAGAAATACATTTGTATAAATAAGGTCATTTGAAAATACATTTCTTTTTAAATTGTTGCAAATCTTTAGGTGTTAAACTATAAATGATAATTATAAGGCTGTTTTATGGAAGAAAAAAAAAAGAAATAATGTTTTGGAAACAAATTACACCATTCTTTTCTTCGAATACAGTTTTTTTTTAAAGATTATGAAGATATTAAACAATCAAGTAATTTCAAAACATCAGTTCATTAGATAAGTCTTTGGCCATTTCAAAATACCAGCTAGGTCATCACCCTTTCTTGACGAATACAATCATTAGAATTTTATATCATCTTAAAGTGTACGTAATGCTAGTGTAGAATCATCATATGTAATCAATAATTCCCCCGATAATTAAAATATAATATTTAAGTGTGTGGTTTGCAATGTTTATCATTATGTCTTTAAAATTGTTCTGCAGAGGGATATAAAACATAAAAGTCCATAAAACAATACAAAACAAGCGCAGAGCAAACACGGACCTCCAAAACATCAGAGGTGGGATCAGGTGCGATGGAGGAGTGAGCATCCCCTGCTGACCGGTCATACCCGCCGTGTACTCATTGTCATGATCGTTAAATAACGGAAAAATGTTTGTTTCAGTGTTAAAATAATGGACTAACAATTGGTATGAAAAACGCCAGTCAGCATTTGACTCTGATAAATTGTATTTGCTGACAAGGTCATTGTACCGACTATAGAACTTACGAAATGATGACTTTAAACGAGACTGCTGATATTCTTGTTTCAACAACTTGCTTGTCAATAATTTACCTCGTTTTAGAAATTGTTCATACGTAGAGCATGCTCTTGCATATCGAATCAAATGAGATATATAAACTCCGTATACAGGTGATGAAGGTATAGTGCTGGATAAGTAAGGAAAGTTGACGATAAAAAAGTTAAAGTCGTTACGTTTAATTTTTTACCAAATGCATGAATGCATGTATCATGCTTTTTATGTATAGACCTACCTTTTCAGAAAAATATATATTTTATGCGCCCGGATCGATAGATCCAGGGCGTACATTATTTTTGTTCTGTCTATTGTCTGTTTATTTGTTTGTCTGTTGTAAATTTTAACCTTCGCAATAACTTTTGAACCATGGGAGATAGAGATTTTATATTTGGTATGCATACGCCTTTGATAAAGCTTTTTCAAACGACACCAAAGTTAATGAACCTAACCTTGACTGTGACCTATATCCAAAAAATAGCTTTTTCGAACTTTTGAACCATGAGAGATAGAGACTTCATAGATGGTATGCGTAGTCCACTAATTAAGATCTTTCAAATGACATCAAGAACAACGACATTGTGACCTTGACTGTAACCTATATGCTAAAAATAACTTCTTAGAACTTTCACCATAACTTTTGAACCAAAGGACATAAAGACTTCATAATTCGTATGGGTGTTCCACCAATTAAGCTCTTTCAAATGACATGAAGGTTAATTACCTTGTGATCTTGACTTTGACCTATATGCTAAAAATAGCTTTTTCGAATTTGGTTGCAGCCGGGAGCATAGTGTTTCACAAACACATCTTGTTTAGTTTATTATTTTGTTTATAATATATACCAACATTAACAGTAAGGTTATATATAACTTCAAGATTTTCAAGCAAGTAGTATTCAATAATTTAATTTACATACATTTACATGTAAATCAGGTCAATCAGGGCACTAAAAAATCAGGGCATTATACCCCCTGCAAACTTCAAAAGTGATTTCTGGCAATGTATAAAACACATTTTCTCCCAGACTTAATTAAACTAACATCATATATCATTCTTAAAAGATATTTTATCAAATTTCAATATTTAAATAATGTGGAATTGGGTTTATTTGAGGTTTTTGTACTATCAGGTCATTGTAATCCATTGTAATTCTTGAGAAGAATATTTTTAAAAAGTTTCCTACATATTTCTATGTAAAACTTGGATTCCCTATTGAATCAAAAATAGGAAATCAAAGTTTAAAAAAAATATATCGGAAAAATCTTTAAAAATATTCTTCTCAAGAAGTACTTGTCCCGAAAAGCTGAAACTAATGTGGAAGCATCCTCGGGTAGTGTAGATTCTAAATTGTTAAAATCATGTCCCCCCGGATGAATAGGGAACCCAATGGCTTCTTAATCATTTATATCATACATTGGAGGGGGTAGGGGCCACAATAGGTATAACAAGAGAGGGAAAATCTGGTAAAGAAATGCGTCACCAAAATTAGTCAGGTGAGCAATGTGGCCCATGGGCTTCTTGTGTTTATTAAGTCATTCTTTTGTTTGTTATTAAACGTTTCTCTTGAGAAATCTGTACCCATATGGAACCATGTGGAAAAAAAATTTAAATAATGAAGACAAGTAAGATTTAAGGCAATCATTCATTTTAGGACATTCATACATTTCAACAATTAAGACATAAAATAATTATAACTCAGTCCCCTCTCCCCTTCTCCTTCGCAGACATGTTTGATCATGCATAAAAAAAATTGATACTTTGTTTTGACATAAAAATGTAAGTTTATGCAAATGGTTTATGCAGGCGTCACACTGTCCCGAAATTGACACCAGATGGCGATACGAAATTGAAATTTTGAATTTCGCACGAAGTTGCCCCGAAATTGGTCACTAGCTAATCACCAGCCGAAGCAAGTACGATACCTACAGATGGTCACACGATGGCACCCGAAGCACACACGAAGGCTACATGAAAATGTGATTTTTTATTGAGATGTTTACCCGAAGGACACACGAAGGCAATATGATGGCAACAAGACGTCGTATTGAGAGTACGATGCGTTCGAATCAAGTCACGAAGGTGTCACGTGACCTTTCAATGGGTATTAAACCTTCGGCCGACTGTTGGAAATTTCAATTGCTCATTGGTAAACTTTGCGTGATCATAAACTTCAACTTTGGCTCCACTTTCATTTAAGTTAAAATGCCACCCAAGGCTGGGAGAGGCAGAGGGAAGAAGCAGGCTGGGAGATGCAAATCTAAAAAAAGAAAAGCAGAAGAAACTGAGATTTTGGATGTCCAAGAAGACACCACTCAGTCTCCTAAGTTTAAAATTCCCAGCAATGTTAAATACATTGCCCAGAGCCCTGAATAAAAACTTGAATTTAAAATCCCAAACCAAAATTCATACTAGCCTTTGTCATTAGTTAAAATTTTCGAGGAAGTTAAATCTATTGGCCAAGTTCTACACTAAGTATCTTAAGTTAAGAACGCAAATTAGAGGTGGAACGGTTTTAATTTTTCATGTCGTCCGAAAAGTAAAAGTTAATTTAATATGACTTTACATTTAGGAAACTTGGGATTTTTAAACTATCTATATGTTAGGCCTCTATTCAATTAATGAAAAAGTACTTAAAAATACAAGTTTAAAACACCGCACAAATTTATTACTTCATACACATGTATGTAGTTACAATGCAAAACATGTATGTGAAAATATTTGTTTTCATAATCACAATGTTACTGTCTCTCTGTTCATTTTGCTGTCCCTCTTTGTCGGACATTACATGATCATCTTGTCCTGCCTAGGCACAGAACCAGCCACTGAGGTAAAGTAGTGGCCCAAGTATCTTCTAATTTGCCTCCCCTCCTTGGTTCCTGCGTTCCTTGCCTTCTCATGGTAAACATCCAAAAGTACTTTGTCATTTCTCCATGCCCCTAGGATGACATCCTGGTTCTGGTCTTCCACGTCCATCAGGTTGGTGTGGGTGGCTGGATATTTAAGTCTGATGAGATTGTGAAGGATCACACAAGTTGTAATGATTTTCCTGCATGTCTCGGGTCTCTGAGTCATGGTCCCCAGCAAGATTCGGAACTTGTGTGCCAGAATACCGAAGGCATTCTCCACTACACGTCTGGCTCTTGAGAGTCTATAGTTGAATATTCTCTCGTGGTGTTCCATGTTTCTGATGGAAAACGGGTTCATCAGGCGCTTGTTGATCGCAAAAGCATTGTCCCCTACTATATAGTATGGGACAGGAACGTCATCACCAGGTAGAGACTTCTCTTCAAGGAGATTAAACATGTTGTTCGGACTCTCTAGGCCTTTCTTCAATTCTGATCCATTGTAAATACTAGCGTCGTTGCTGGAGCCATCAGACCCGACATCAATCCAAAGAAACTTGTAGTCTGCATCAACCAAGGACATGAGGACAATAGAGAAGAAGCCTTTGTAGTTTCTGTACTCAGAGCAAGTATTCCATGGACAAGTGATCGCCACATGCTTGCCATCTAAAGCACCACAGCAGTGTGGAAATTGCCATCTCTTTTCAAACTGCTCCTCAATGGCAGTCCACTCTTCAGTTGTAGTAGGACACTGGATCACCCCAACAGCAAACTCGGCTTTGATGGCATCGCAAACTTCGTCTATGGCGAGGGAGATCGTGTTTGGAGCAACTCTGAAATTGTAGGACAGGCTTGGATAGTTGTCTCCGCAGGCCAGGTGTCGTAGAGTGATGGACAGCTTGAGACCAGGAGGAAGACACTTTCTATACCATGTGTCCTTCTTTTTTATTCTACCTTCTATCCGTTTCAGGACTTGATCGTAGAGGCCTTTGGGAAGCCTTGTATAGTTGTAGAAGGCCTTCTCATCCTCTGCTTTCAGTTCATTTAATAGAGTGGTATAGTGGCCATAGCGTTCTCTACGCTTTACAGACAGCCATTTCCTGACCCACACAGACCTCTGTTTTCTCCTTCGCCGCGGTTTCCCCGTGTTCTGGAAAATAACAAGCAAAACAAAATAGTACATTGTCAAATGCTACAAACACAAATAAATAGAAACGACAAGTAGAAATGAGACAATTTATACCTGTAAGAGGAGGTGCTGAGCCTGCAAGAGTTCCTCCTCATGTTTTCTGAGGTGCATCAAAAGAAGTAATGCTGCTGCTTTCTTTTTTCTTGTTTTTTCATTATCAAAGTATGTCATTCTGCTAGAACTGAATTGTGATTAAAGGAAAGCTTTGGTTGCTGTAGACGCCTTTGCTCTGTAGATTTGCTGAATGAATGAGGAAGATGCACTGATACCGGCCTTTTATATATGCACGTTAACATAACACATGGGAAACGCTTGAGCTATTCAAATTCGGCTGTCTTCGCCGACACCGTGGTCCCATCTCGATGCCATCGTAATATAATACGATGTCCATACGCTGGCATTGCGAGGGCTTTACGTGGTCGTGTTGACTTCATGAAACAATCGGGCTGGTTCTTGTTTCCTTCGCATTGTCTTCGTGAGACGCTAAATGCCCGATGACACCGATGATCACAGGAAGTAAAGACGAAGATGACACGATTTGACAAGATGCCCTCACGATGGCCTTACGAAGGGCAAAATGGACACACGAATTTAACACCTTCGCAATGTGTTCGGCCAATTTTTTGACAGCCAAAGATTTTGCTACCACTCACGAAGTTGCTGCCGAAGTCTTAGAAACTCCACCGGCGCTCATACGATGGCTTAAGAAACCGTCACGAATGGCCCGATGTGTTTACGATCAGAGCCGAATTTAAACATTTCCTTTATCGTGTGGCCATCTTTGCTCAATTTCGGGACAGTGTGACGCCAGCATTAACGGTGCATCTCTTTGAATGATTGTTATTCCTAATTCCAGGAGGGTGGGTAGACGCGAATTCATAAAAAATGTCAAGTAATATAATAATCATTGATGCAGTCATATTGTGAACATTTTCAGTTTATCTAGAGTGGGGATGACTTCAAGAGATTGATAACCTTTATACTGTACCATAACATAATAAAAGAAGAAACTAATACCCCATTCATACGACATGATTTGCGTACATCAGTATATTTTACACATAAGTAAATTTACTCACATGTGCAATTTTTGCCGTATGAACTGATATACTCATTTGCAAATTCTGCACAGTTGAGTATATTTACACCTGGTCAGGACTACCAGTAGGTGCAAATTAACTTTTGCATACTCTTTGTAGCAAATTATTAGTTCATGGTGTAAATTGTGTCGTATGAACACACAGCAAATTTACTTATGTATGCATTTTGTTTTGTTTATTTTATAAATTTCCATTTCAAGTGTTGTTTTGGTTGTGTATGCATTGGCGTGTAAAATATCAGTCCGTAAAAATGGTGGCTAGATTGATTGATTGATTGTATATTGTTTAACTTTCCTCTCGAGAATTTTTCACTCATCACTGGCCGGTGGAGAGCTGCAAATTTTGTCCTATACTCGGCACTTAGGGCCATTGAGCAGGGAGGGATCTTTTTCATGCCAGCTAGTGCGACAAGGGACTTCGGTTTCATCCGCAGGATAAGGTCTTCTCGTCCAACAATGGAATTTGAACCCGCGATGTAAGGTTCAACTCCTTACTTCGCGACTCTATAGCAAACGCTCAAACCACTGCGCCACCGCGGGCGACTAGGTGGCTAGAAACAAAACTATTAAACAAGGAGCCATTACCCCCTCCGAGATAAATTTTCGAATTTGGAAAAACGAGGGCATCTTGCACCCTTTCTGGTAAACCTATGTTTATGTCTATAAAGATATAGCTGTGATCGCAAACAAGTGCCCCGTAGGATCATTAATTAGTGTCCTTACTATTCAAGTTCTCTTCTTGGGAATGCTCCGGAGCTATGATAGGAACATGCATTCCATCAATCGCTCGCGGCCCATAACCGTTTAGCTCTTGATGACTTTCTTCTACCTTTCTCTGTTTTTAATTCAGGCAAGCTACCTTATATTGTTACAGGAATTTCAGTAAACTAGTGAAAATAAGCATTTGTAAGTTACCTCATCGGCACCTGATCTCATCATGAATGTCCAGGGGTTCGTGTTGATTTCCCTTTAACATATTTGCATTGTTCAAAGATTTTTGAGATCGATCACTGTTAGAATTTTTCACCCTTATCATTCTACTGGAAAATGAATAATTATTATAATACTCAAGCAGATATTTTATAATGGCCTCACACACTGATGTACTGTAGATTTCCCAACAGCAAAAATATTTTTAAGGTGTTTTATTTCTGCCGACGACGTCAACTAGTAGATAGCAAGTCACCTTTTTTTTTTTAATTTTTTACACAATCTCTTCTACACTCTTTGGGATGGAAGCCAAAACATTTTCCAACAATAAAGCAGTATGAGCTGTATTTTTTTAGAAAATTATCTTTGTATTAAAATGTGTCATTGTGAGTAATTTGTATATAATTTAAACCCTTATGATTAAACCAAAATAAAATTTTTAAATTGTTTGAGAAGAAATGTTTTTGCACAATGGAATATATATATAGCATCATATATGAAATCAACAATGCACAGGACGACAATAATGTCATTTTGCTTCAATTAAAGCTTCAAAAAAGTTCTTCCATCGCAAATATGAACAACTGTAGTTTACAAATGTTCTATTTTTCTATCATTTAAATAGTTGATTACAAATTTGCAACAAAACTTTCCCATGTCAATCTTGCAGCTCATATTGATAATTTAAATGTTTTCCTTCTTCGTGTGTAAATTCTTATACCATTCCTTCCCCTTAAAGTAATTAATTAAGTTGCACCAGGAAATGAGTGGAACGCCCCCCCCCCTAGTTTCTTTGAGGAGGATTTAAAAGTTAGTCTTATATAAAAACAGTAAGGAAATGCCCTTTCTCTATAAAAAAAATAACAGTTCTGAATCTGTCCATCTGTCCATCTCCTTAGTTTATATGAAAATGTGAGGATTAACTTAACTTAAATCTCGTCTGAATGGGGTAATATATAAGTTATGTATCGTCAAGTTTCCTACTATTTTTGATTAACATGATCATTTGACATTTCATGGACATCCTTTTGAGATCGGACCCCCCTCCTGGAATTTGCATTTGTATATAGTATATACTGAAGCAAATAAACAATGACTTCGAAGTCCCCCCTCCCCTGTTGATATCAACCCTACCATCATTTTTGTTTGTTTATTTTCGTTCTTTTTTGTGCTTTCGGGAAATTCAGGGTTTGGGTTCTTTTTGACTGAGCTTTAGACCACCCCATCCCCCCTTCCGGGAAAAAATCTTGATCTGCTTCTGTAACTTACGAAGGACTATTTAGTCAACAACAAGAAATAACTGTTGTGAAATTCGCTTATTGTGGCATCCGATAATCTTTAATTTGATCATTTTTAATCTTAAAACTAACCATTTGCAAAATGAGTTTATTTTACCCCAATCTATATTTGAACCTGTAAAACCGACTCTCATAGGTCCTGTCAACATAAGGAAATATAAAAGAAATCATTTAAACACATCCATAGAACAAATGTGGAAGGGGGTTGGGTCACATTCTCTCTGAGTAACACACAAGGTATCACATTACTCATTTTACATTTGATTCCCTCGAAAATTTTCAAGGATATGTGTTTGTATAAAGCCCTCACCTATAACTATCCAACCTTCTCCCCATGAATAACATTCTTCACGACTATAGGAGGTGGAAGGGGCACAGGCCAGAGCGTGTTCCAGATTATTTTTTTTTTTTGGAAAACCTACACCTACTTTATGCTTTTTATCACCTCTTTAATAATTTAGTCTCATATATTTATTTGTTTAAGAATTTTGACTATGGAGTTTTACTTGTAAGTACCTTCTCAAACTGAAAATGTTTCGATTTGTCTCCTCCCCCAAAACTAAACTTACTAGTTCAGGGGTCTGTTTTGTACAAACACGTGTGTTGGTAGACGGGGCTACTTTAGGGGGCACGTGGGGGAGCAGTGTTAGCAAATCGGACGATTTTTAGTAACCGGCTACTCGCTTCATCTTCCGATCGAGTACCCGGTTACTCAGACGATTTTTGGTAAAAGTATCAATATCTATTATTAATCTTATCCTAAACTTATCGGTAGTAGTAATCGGCAAATATACTGTATATGGACATTATATTCACAATACACACATACGATATCGTCAAAGATTTACGATTTTAAAATAAAGAAAATAATGAATTCGATACACGGAGAAGACAAATAAATATGTCATCGTCAATCACCATTTTACACTTTCCTTTTCAGCCCCCGAAATATATCGCAATCAAGGAGAATAATTATTTACATACTCTATAATTAATAGCCAATATGTGGAGTGTCCATATGGTATGAGCACGAACGATATTTTTATAATGTAGAATGGATAACTGCTACAGTCAAACAAAGATTAAAAGATCAGTATATTCAAAAGTGGAATAGTGAAGTTCAAGAATCTTCAAAAAGTTTAAATTATAGAATTTTTAAAACCAATTTTGAGTGCGAAAAATATTTAACACTGTTATCATTTAAATTTACAAAAAAACTTTTGTTAAGTTTAGAACCACAAATCACCACCTCCCAATTGAAACAGCGGTAGATTGAATGGTACTCAAAGAAATGAAAGAGTTTGTAGCTTATGCAGTAGTAACCAGATAGGAGATGATTATCATTATATTTTAGAATGTAGTGCTTTAAACCAACTGAGGAAAGTTTATTTGAACCAAAAATTTTGCTGTAATCCAAATATCATCAAGTTTTGTGAAATCATGTGCCAAAATGATGTTGATTCTGTGAAACAATTATGTACATTTATTTCTAAAATTAATAGTATTGTCTGTTCTCCTTAATTATCACCTTCTGCTTGACCCACTGTATTATATGTATATATGTTTTATATGTTTTGTACCTCATGTACCATTTACATGGTTTTGAGTGAATAAATTGAATTGAATTGAATCATTAAATCGCTGGTTTCCGAATATTTTAAGATTAGGTGATTTAACAGATTTTGAATCAGCTATTCTTCTGTTAAACTCCAAGCTTATAATGTCTGCGGCGGCATCTCCTTAAATTATCAAATGAGGTAATTATAACTCAGGCCTTCAAAAGATATATATACCCCAAGCAATCAAAGCTATCAATTATATAAACTGTGATAACTAATCAAAACAGTTTGATCCACTACAACCATGCAATAGATCAAGTCTAACGGTATCTAAAATGAGGGAAATGTGTAAGTTAGTATACCGGTACATTTATAAATTTTATAAAACATTTATTTTCTATGCCTTTACTATGTAGAATGTATTTTGTCCGAGTAACCGAATAGCAGTTTCACTGACCGATACTCGCATCGTTCGACGGTTAACCGGTTAACCGGGTACTCGTTGCCAACACTAATTTAAAGTCATTAATAATATTCAAACATTAGTCTTGTCCTTTCTTTTAATCCCCCGCTTGAAAATGGGTGATACATGTATTAATTTGGGTCTGTCCGTCCGTCCGTCTAGCTGTCTGTAACGCTTTCGTTTCTACACGATATCTCGAGAACCCTTTGAGCTTTCGCACTAACATTTCGCATATCAAATCCCTATGGACTAAAGAAGAACCCTTTTGGTTTTGGAGTCAAAAGGTCAAAGGTCAAGGTCATAAATTTCGCAAATTTTGTCTGTTATAACACTTTCGTTTCCGAGTGATATCTCGAGAACCCCTTGAGCTTTTGCAATGAAATTTTAGAACTCCCTGTGGTCTAAGGAAGATCCCTATTAAATTTGAAAAGTCAAAGTTCAAGGTCGTGGATTTATGCATTATGTCTGTGTGTAACACTATCCTTTCTGGGCGATATTTCAAAAGGATTTTGAGTTTTTGCAATGTAATTTTATGCCAAAACTCCCTATGACCTCTCTCACCCCTCTCAAAGTGTCCCGCCCCGTTTGTTTTATTACTATTTATTGTATTAAATGTCGCTATTTTTAGCACAGGGGCATGAAAAAAAAAATATTACGTATAAACAGGTTCTCGGCCGACATTATATTCTTATTACATTAGAGTTGTTTAATAAAGGTTAAATTAGACACCATGCATTGTGTAAAATTTTGACAATATCGAATGTGAATATATAAATACATGTATGTGACATCATTTTTGCATATAATTTTCGTCAGTGTTAAGCATTTCCATGGTCTAGTGGTATGTGAAAGGTCCAGGGTTCGAATCCCGGACAATCTATATTTTCTTTTTTTTTTTTGAAATACTTTTTTGTTACTAAATGATAGTATTCAGCATGTGAAATGAAAGATTTATGAGTCTAGCTTGTACAAACTTATAAAATCATCATTACAGTATAATGATAAATATTCCATATAAAAAGAATCTTCTATACACATAATGAAGAAATTAGAATAAGCAATCAAATCTTTATGTGCATATTGACATACATGTATTTTATTTGCTTCAGTAAACATGTATACATTTCATAATTCTAAAAATTCAGTCGGGGGATCCGACTTTTTCCATAAGCGGGGGACACAAATTCTCTGATTTAGCTTGTTAAAGATTTTTATGAAGTTAAAAGCTTCCATGATTTGATAATTATTCCGGGAAAAAAAACTCTTTACCGGATACGTTTTGTCAAATTGACATTGAGTACATACATTCACGTATACTCGTTCAACCAGACACTCGGCTGTCTCCGTAAATCTACGACCAGCCAGTCTGCTGGAGACAGCTGAGCGTCTGGTTTAACGATACTAACATTTACGTATTTAAGGATTTCAATCCCTAATGGGACCAAATTCTTTGCCCTTTAACCCCTTATCTTCCGTACTGGTCAAATTGACCGGTGGCGCGTTAAAACACGACTTCGCGAAAATAAGATCTCCGTATATATTTTGTGGTAGCATGAAGGTATATAACCTATATATCATCTTTTTGGAAATTTTCTCTACTTTTAAAATATCTAAAAAGATTATATCTTGATTGCCGGTATTTAATCGATTTTACGTTGTGAAGACAAACGAGACTTTTTGAAAATGGCGTAATTTTCCAAAGCGATTGACGAATTTCCAGACGATTGACAATTTTTTTCCTGATTAACTTTATAAGAAAGCATGGTATATTCTTAAAGAATATTTTCTCTACTTTTAAAATATGTAAAAATTATTGTTATTACTTTAATATATATTTTAAAAACAAGAATTTTCTTGCACTTATGTGTTTTTTATCGATTTTATTCGTAATACATGTATTTAAACAAAGCTCAGTTTTACGTTTATTTCTGTGTTGAAATAGGGAAAACAAAATAAAGCTGGTAAAAGTAGAGAAAATTTCCTTTCCAACAAGCCCTTATATGCCTTCTTACACTCAGTATTTTCTTAATTACGATAATTTGAATTTGTTACCTTTGCATAGTTTTTATGGAAAAATCGGTCAATATTTACATGTAACGTCAAGGTCGATATTGTTGCGTCTTACTCGAAACAACAAATTCTTTTATAATAATTTTTTGACCATTCAAATATATTTTTTACTGAAATAAATGCATAATACAAAAAAATAGATTTCATAAAACAAATATATACTTTCGTTCTGCCTTTTGTGAAGTGAATGTTGATTTATTCATTTACATGTAATGATGTATATTTCATGAAGTGAAAGGCTATACAATAGGGTGCGTCGATTTACCCAAAAGGAACCCAAAAGGACCCAAAAGGACCCAAAAGGAACCCAAAAGGACCCAAAAGGAACCCAAAAGGACCCAAAAGGAAATCAAAAGGACTCGAATTAATATATTATAATACATTGAAAAATAATAATTTGAATTAAATTATGAATATTATATTATAAATTTACCTAAAAATTGGCAAAAACATACATTTATATTGTTGCAACTTTTCTTAAAGAAATAACATACGACTTTTATAACACATCAATCATTAAATCTGGTAGATATGCTTTGATTTCTTTTACTGTTTAGCTGAATTTAACAAAGTGCACTGTATTATTCTATTTCTCCTTCTGTTTTATTATATCTTATTATATGATATTTGATAAATAAAGAAATAAGTTTATTTAATGACATGTTCTAGGCATATGGTATCGGGGATGGTTGGGGGTCGGGGATGGTTGGGGGTGGGGGATGGGGGGGGGGGGCTCCCACCTCAACCCAAACACGCACTTTACCCTCAAAAAACTAGTTTTAGTTTTAATAAAATATGAAAGTATTCATTATATATCCATTTAATCTCTTTATTTCAAGTCCTTTTGGGTCGTTCTTAATTTCCTTTTGGGTCCTTTTGGGTTCCTTTTGGGTCCTTTTGGGTTCCTTTTGGGTCCTTTTGGGTTCTTTTGGGTCCTTTTGGGTCCTTTTGGGTAAATCGACGCACCGATACAATATTGATAAAAATTGTAGATTTCCAAAACGTCGATCTTTACTAAAAAAAAAAAAATCAGATTTTTAATATTGTTGTATCTTGTTATACTGTATACTTATTAATTTGCAATTTAATTAGATCTATATTTAACAATACAAAAACTCGCATTTATAAATAAATACGACTCATCACTGTATGAGTTGATACGAATTGAAATAAACACGTGTTTCCGCTTTGGTGTAAACATGATGGTGATCCGAAATCTGAACGTCAATTTTCATGATTATTTCACGACGAAGATCATCACATCAATGAATCAAATAATACGGATATGCCTTTGGTATTAGCAGGTGAGAATACGTGTATATTGACTGAAAAGTTTAAGTTTAAAACGCAATAGTTCACGTTCAAAAGAAAACTAAATGTACACATGTACTAGATCTTTTATGTTTCAGTGTGCGTGTTTCGTATCGTTCAGCCAATTTTGCATTGCTTTTGAACTTTGATGCTTTTGACAATCACTCGTAAGTTCAAAGTAAAATCAAAGTTGTCATAATAATGGATAGTTGTTTTCAGTATCTATGTACCAGTGTGTACAGGTGTACATGTACCACTTTCACATTGAAATTTTAGGGTGCTTTCAGCATATGCAACAATACTTTCATCTGTGAATACCCACTTTCTAAGCCCACCATGAACTAAGAGCGGAAGGTCAATTAATATGTAAGGACACCAATGAACAGGTAAATTTTTATTTTGGTATTGAAAATTTCTGTATTTCTAAAATTTAAAAAAATAAAATCTAATTTCATTTGTGTCATTCTCATGATATCGCATTCATACAAGTTTATAAACATTTGATTTATATTTTGAAAAATAAGTGTTTGAAACACATAATACTTATGATGCTTGATTATTCATACAGACGTATTATTTAACATGATTTAAACATGTAATATCTATCTGAATGAATGCCAAGATATGGAACAAACTGTTTTTATAGACTGCTGTTGTATTTCCAATCTGCATAAAGTATGTGGTTAGAATTTCCATTTTCTCAATTTTTCAGACACTTTCCAATTATCCTACATCATATACATGGGTGGTCAAACTCACTGGATGGTTTATCAACACTCCCATGATCACGAACAGCCTTGCGCCAGGAATTTTGCCCTGAAGTAACATTGCAGTCTATTTGTCTCCTTTCTTTTTACAACCCTGGCAGCCATGCAGGTATGAAATCTATGAAAGCCATGAAGGGACATAGAGTTTTTAGAAATTTATAAAAGTAAACCTAGTTCTCGATTTATACAATCCGTTCTCTCGGATTGACAATATGTTATAACAAATTGCCAATTCATTCTCACAGATTACCAATTCGTTCCCTCAAATTACACTGTCCGTTATCTCAGATTGTATAATTCATTCTTTTAGTTTAAATGATTCATTCCCTCGGAATGTAAACCCTTCCCATGATTTCGTTTAAATTATTTATCTGTACATATTGGATATGTTAATACCGGTACATGTTTAAAAAATAAAATATTGTAGTATTTTACATCCTAACTTTTATTATTTACATATTTCGGTCCAAAATGAGAAAAATACATGAACATTTTCAAATCCATGTGCTAGTACTGATATTTGTACAACAAAAAATCTTAGAAGTTTTTGTGTTACTTGTAGAATAATTGAAAGTCCTAGATACATGTAGTAAAAGTGAATATGGGTCCTGTGTAATCATAATATTTCTAAAATAAATATACGTTGAATTAGTTATGAAAGAGGTTGGAAACGACCGGTTGCTGAAAAAAATAAATAGAACGCACTTATTGATTAAAATGGTTGGATGTTTCTGTACATATATGTAATGAAATTCAAGAGCACAGATTTCCAAAATCATAAGACTGACGTTGTAACAAATCAAGATGTTGAATTATCAATCTGTGAAAACAAATTACCAGTATGTAATTCGAGATCTCAAATTATGAATCAAGGGGGCGAATTAGTAATCCTTAAGATCGGATTGTGTAATTCGAGATCTCATATTATAAATCAAGGGAACAATTTAGTAATCCTTGGGATTAGATTGTCTAATTCGATTTGATATCATCTTTTACTTTTTTGAAAAATTTACATGTCCATCCTGGCTTTCGTAGCAATCTAATGCCAGATTTTTTTTACATGTTGCGATAGCGTAAACAGAGGTCAGGCTTTAGTCAGATTGCCATATATGCTATTTGTTTTAGTTCAGTAATTTTACCATGATGGTTTACTACAAGTTGTTAAATTATCAGTCCTGATACATTGACTTAACAATATCATTTAACTACTTGGATCACATAATGATTACAATTTTAATTTTAAAAGGAAAATCAAATAAATGTAGTAATTTTAGCATTCTTAATTTTATTTATAAATATAAATTTATATATACAATGACATGTATCTGTTTCAAAATACTTAAATCTTTTACAGGATAGAAGCTGATCACTTGTACTTGACAGCAAATAATAATGTCTTGGACAAGTCAAAGAATTTCCTCCGGTCTTACAGAGAAATGACAGTTGATAAAAGAATGGTGGACACAAAGTAAAAGTGCTCTTCAACATTTTGTTGAAGATTTCAGTCTGATTTGGAATTCATCTTGCAATATATCTGTATTTGTATATTTGGATATAAGCGTCAAATTTTCAACTTATTGCCTGAACAGTTTTGCATTAAATATTGCCAATGCTATCTATTATTATTTCCCTCCAAGATAACATGTCAAGTCTTTATTGTACCCCTTAAGCTCCGTTATACCAGAAAAATCTTGTAATGAAATCATTTAGTTTTTTTTTCTTGTTAAATTAAATCCATGAAAATAAAGATTATTTTGATGTCATCAAGAGAATGGATTTCTTGTTTAACAAAAAGATAGTATACATGTTTTGCTAGGGCTTTGTAAGAAGCAGACCAGAATTCTTTGCTGCAAACTTTGTCATTCGCCATTTTTATTACGTCAACTATTAGATGATTTATCCATGTTTGAAGCATTTCAAAATTGATATTTACTTACAGTTTAAAGCAGAATTCTGTACTGATATGACCTTGACCCCCTGAAGAACAAGAGTGTCAAGGTCAATTTTTAATACAAAAATGTTCTTTCATCTTTATGGCCCATATCTTACAAGCAATATCATGAAATATACAAAAAGTGTCTAGAATTTGTCCAGAATGTGAAATAACAAACATGTATATAGCCAAAAACTTTAAAATGATGTTGCTTAGCAACCACTTAAAGGTCATTAAACAGATATTTGAACTAAAATGATGCATGTATATTGCAGTTCTGATCCCTTCTTGAGAGTATATTCAGAATTTTCCATTTCAGCATCCATTGTGTAAAATTATGGCAAGAATATTGAAAAGTGTTGAAAAAAATTGATGAAACTTTTGCACTTATTTGACCTTTGACCTCCTAAAAATAGTTCTAATGAGGTCAAACTTTAAGACAATTTATCTGTTGTATGTCCCTTATAATTTTATGACCTCACATCTAACTTTTATATCTGCTGGGATGCATAAATGTGTCTACGATGCGTAAAAAATGAAAATTTCTGCCCGAAAATTAAAGAATTCTGTGTTGCTTAGCAACCCCTTTTAAGTAATTATATGCAGAATTGAAAAAAAGTTTATGTGTTTCATGTAGTATAGTATAATGCTCTTTTGTGGGTATATCCCAAATTTCCTATTTCAACATACATCATACTTAATATTTAGCTTAAAGATGAAAAAGTATCAAAAAATTCCATAAAATTTTGCACTTAATTGACCTTTGACCTCAATTTTTACTAATAAGGTCAGTGGTTGAGTTTCTAAACAGTCATAAAAAATCATCTGTAAGAAATTTCCTACAAAATGGTATGCATTATACCTAGCTTTCCCCTTGGATAAAAAAGTTAGAAATAATTTAATAATGTCATGTCAAAAGGCCTCCAAAATCACGTAAAATGCGCCGGAAGAGAAAGGGTTAATGTCCGTCAAGTACACAATACTTTAATATTATATTAAAGCATTTTATAGTGGAAATGGATTGCCCACGAGAAATTTTAAAAAAGTTCATTAATTAAGCAGTAGTTAATTAACAAAGATTGCATTGAAGTCTATGGGGAAAAATATTTTTTCAAAATAAAAATTCAAATAATTTGAATATCAATAAATCCTGCGGTGGAAAGATGCATTGAAACATTAAAAATAGAATGATAATTAAAAACAATTTTTTACCTGATAATTTTATTAAAATTGATTCTTTTTAATAATTAAAGAAGGGGAGATAACTCTTACCAAAATTCAAGGTCATGAAATAGGACACATCCCACTAAACATACTTATCGTAATAAATGGGAAGTATGTCTAAATAAACTGAGTATTCAATGCCTACATATCTGTTATGTTTTCAATTTCATTGAATTTGTTTCTACTAGGGATTGAAGACCTTAAAAGAAGAACGAACGATAACTCTGCGTGGGAGATTTGTGTTACCCGAAACAACATAAAGAAAAATCGATCTAGTCTAACAAAGAATATATTTTTTAAAGCAATTCAGGTTAGGAATTTTCTATTATTCGTTACTAGATTTAAATGAGGATAAGAAAAACATTGTATACATGAAATGTATCCTACTCAAGCTTCCATTTTTAGCTCACCTCAACGAAGTTGGGGGGAGCTTATGTGATACCCTCGGCGTCGGCGTCCCGGGTTAAGGTTAAGTTTTTTGGAGCAGTTTTCTTTTTAAGTACTTCTATGTCCTATATTGATTAGACATGCATGGAAGATGTTGCTAGTGTGTTTCATTGTACCAGTCAAAGTTTCAGATGCTGCAATTTCAGCAAAGGAATGACCAGGTTAATGTTTTTGGTGCAGGTTAACATTTTTGGTGCAGTTTTTGGTGTAGGTCTCATTTCCGAGTAACTATAAGCCCTATGTTGACCAAACTTACATGGATGATACATCTTAGGATGCATACTACCAGCCTTGCTTCGGATGCTGAATCTGACCTACATTTTCCGGTTGAGTGAACAGGTTAAAGTTTTTGGTGATGGTTTCATTTTGAAGATACTTTGAGCCCTATAATGACCAAACTTGCATGGATGGTACATCTTAGGATGTATTCTTCTAAACTTGCTTCGAATGTTGAATCTGACCTACATTTTCCGGTTGAGTGAACAGGTTAAAGATTTTGGTGCAGGTTTCATTTCCAAGTTACTGTGAGACATATAATGACCAAACTTACATGGATGATACATCTTAGGATGTATACTACCAGCCTTGCTTCGGATGCTAAATCTGACCTACATTTTGCGGTTGAGTGAACAGGTTAAAGTTTTTGGTGAAGGTTTCATTTCGAAGATACGTTGAGCCCTATAATGACCAAACTTGCATGGATGGTACATCTTATGATATAATCTACTAGACTTGCTTTGGATGCTGAATCTGACCTACATTTTCCGGTTGAATGAACAGGTTAAAGTTTTTGGTGCAGGTTTCATTTCCAAGTTACTATGAAACATATAATGACCAAACTTGCATGGATGGTACATGTTAGGATGCATATTACAAGACCTGTTTCGGATGCTGAATCTGACCTACATTTTCCTGTTGAGTAACCAGGTTAAAATTTTGGGTGCAGGTTTCATTTCCAAGGTACAGTACTATGAACCCTATAACGACTAAATTGCATGGATGGTACATCTTAGGATGCATACTACCAGACTTGCTTCGGATGCTGAATCTGACCTACATTTTCTGGACGAGTAAACAGGTTAAAGTTTATGGTGCAGGATTCATTTCCAAGTAACTTTGATCCCTATAATGACCAAACTTGCATGGATGGTACATCTATGGGTGCATTCTACTAGGCTGGCTTCGGATGCTGAATCTGACCTACATTTTCTGGATTAGTGGAAAGGTTAATTTTTTTATACAGGTTTTATTTGCAAGTAACTTTAAGCCCTATGTTGACCAAACTTGCATGGATGATACATCTTAGGATGCACACTAATGGACTTACTTCAGATGCTGAATTCGACATACATTTTCCAGATAATAGACCTCGTAAAAGTTATGGGTGCAAGTCTATCACCAAGAAACTATAAGGCTTATATAAACCAGTTGCACAAATGATGCATCAAGGGATGAAAACTCTCAATCTTGCTTCAGATGCTGGATTTTAATTACATTTTCATGATGAAGAACTAGTTTTTAGTTTTTATATAGGTCTATTCCAAAGTATCGAATTTGCATAAATTTTGCATTTTTGGATGTACACTTTTTGTTGGTTAATTGTGTGACTTAATTTGCCTTACTTAAAGACAACACACGTTGAGGTGAGCTCTGTAATCTCTGATTACCTATGTTTTAATTCAAAGTATGTACGATCTTTGTTTAGCAATATGATATTTTCATGATAATTCCTCTCACTTGCGTCTTTTATGGCACTTGAAGAACATTTAAAAAGATTTGTTCTTTTGTTTCATTATCCCCCTCCCCCCGTTTGAGAAGTGGGAGGGAATAAGAGTAATCGTGATGTCCGTCTGTCCGTTTAATACGCTTCGGGGTACACATTACTTATCCACAATTCCTTTCATACCGTTGGTCACCCGCGTGGCGCAGTGGTTAGAATGTCTGCTCTAGAGTCGCAAAGTAAGAGTCGATCCTTACGTCTCTTGTTCACAAACCCACTGTGGGACATGGAGACCGGTCCTTCGGATGAGACCGTATAAGCCGAGGTCCCGTGTCGCAGTAGGTACTGGTATGAAAAAGATCCCTCCCTGCTCAATGGCCCTAAGTGCCGAGTATAGTACAAAATTTGCAGCTCTCCGACGGCAAATGGTGGCTACTCCATATGAGTAAAAAATTCTCGAGAGGGACGTTAAACAATATACAATCAATCAATCTCATATACCGCTGAATGAAATTGAAGGAAACTTTTACAGAATCTTTATTACATATTGCCATTTTGCACCTCCTATTTTACTTTTTTATTCGACAAATATTTTGGGTTTCCCATAGCAAGGCCCCAGGGGCTTGAAACATAAGTCTTGCTGAGTTTTTAACATAAATTGGTCGTATAAGTATGTTTTAAGTGCAATTATAGGACATTTCTATATACTACATGTACTTATGTATGTCATAAACCGTAGCATAAAACGAACTAAGCAAGGTCCTAGCTTAGTCAAACTTACGTTAACCATTATGATTCCAATTTATAACCCTAGTATTTCATTTTATTGACATGATTGCAGTTACGTTTTTAATTGTATAGTTATTATATTAAAGTTGACATCCCTTCTTATTGATTTTAGTAAGTGCCACAGGGTGGCTGGCGGCTTCCCAAAATCACAAAGCAATGTGTATAAAATAGTTTTTATTACAGATATTTACAAACACACGAAGTATAACTGTCTGAATGGCTCACTGGCTGAATGGCATGAATGGTACAGATGGCATAAGTGGCCTAAATAAATGGGGCCTATAAAATAAAACAAAGTTAGATACAGACATATTATAACTAAACATTGCTCATACTTGTACATTTTGCTGTACATTTACTTAGGTGCATTTTACTGCATTACTCTTTACTTAGTTGCATTTTACTGCACTGTACTTATACTTCACTTTATACTACTTTACTTTATAAAACTTTTACGTTCACACATAAACTAAGTGTATTACTTGTAGACAACCACTTTTAGACGAATACTATACGCCATACTTTATACATACAACACTGCGTCTACATTATACATTATACTCATACACTTATACTTATACATATATACTTTACATGAGCAAATACGCGTATTACTTCGAATCTAACTTACGAATGAAATTATAGAACAAAGTTCTATGGCCATTTCAGGAATTAAAACCGTCAATAAATCATACAGTTAACGATAATGAATAAGATACACTCACCCAGAATAGGTGGACCTCTGGTCATGAAATATTAAAACATTAAACAAAATAAGGTAGAAAATTGAGCAGTCTTAGACACTTCTGCTCTCTCCAATTGCTAGGCCCAATCTGATTTCTCAAATCACGGGATTTAAATCGCCAGGTAAAACCTGCTAAACAAGCTTAAAAGTATGGTAAACATTTTGGGCTTAAATTATTAGTTAAATAGTTATCAGCTAAAACATATGGAATTCAAATATGGACATCAATTGTGACAGTAAGGTTAGATTATATTTCGTATTTAAAATAGAATTTTGTTAAAAATTATTTGTAATATTTAAAACCAAATATTGCATGTTTAGAAAGTGGCAAGGATTCAATAAATGCATGACTTTTAGGTATCACCCAAGACTAAGATGTATTTTTTTTCAGTTATTTTTTGTTGTTTTTTTAAACTTGTTTTGACAAATGTTCATTCGCTTTGTCATTGTTGTAGGCAAGACACGATAACTAAACGTCTACCTAATGGAAATCAAACTCTACTAAAAAAAGGTACTAAAGAAAAGGAACATTTTGAACCCCCGCCCTCTCCCTCTTCCTTTTCGTGCATCTGCGATTGCCAGCAAGCAAAGACTGTAGACATTTTAAGATTTACTTATTCACAATTTAATTTATCACAGTTAAAAAAGAACTGCTTTCGTATATCACAAACTTTTCAAAAGCTCTCTCTCTCTCGGACGATAGTGAAATGTTGTCTGAATCTGCGCTTGTTGCGTTATAGAAACAATACAATTTCAGTCAGGAATTATTTTGAAATTTTTTTTATTTCCACTAAAATCTATTCTGTGAATGTTTTCAGAAACCATAAAAGGTATGCGTCTGAAACTTTCAGGTATGATATAGGTTGATTTGCGGGTATGTGATAGGTACATCGTCTTCTTGCAAGTGCGCGCGCACGCAATGCGTGAAAAACTAGTTTACCTGATATACATGTAGTCATAACTTTCATATTTTTTCTGAAAAAAAAAACCTTTGAAACTTAGTGTATCAAGAAATATTTAAAGTATGGAAGAGTAAAATGGTCAACATGCATATGCATGCACGTGCGTGCGCGAACAATGCTTAAATGACCAATATAATACTTTATATAGCTGTACCGTTTGAACTATATTCAATGAAAACTGCGATTAAATTCCATTGAAATAGGATGAAGTCAGGAACTAGATTTTGTGGCGAAAAGTTTTTCTTTAAGAAGAAAATGATCGATATTTCCCTTTTGAACTGCATTTACGAGGGGTTATCAAAAAGTTCGTGGACTGAGGCTATAAAATTAGTACTATGTAGTCTGTGCTTTCAAAATTTATATGGAACATAAAGCAACACAAAATAGAAAAATGTTGAAAACTTTAGCCTAATACATTATTATTTGCCAAACTATTATAAAATGAAAACGACATTATATGATCACACGACGCTGTCGTCGTTTATTTTCATGACGTTCAATAACGTCATTGTTTTTTCAATGGCATCTTCTTCTACCTCATACACTTTTTTGATGAGATTCCGTGGAGCTGAGAAAGGACTTAAACCCCCTTGTTTTTATGACTTTACAATGTCATTAACAGTGGCCTTCAATGAATATGATATTCCAGATGAATTAATACATTGGGAGAGATCCGTGCTTTTTTGTGCCGGCATATTTTGCTTTTGGGAGTTCAATATCTACAACACATGATCAACGTCATTTTTGACGGGATTGATTTTTCACACCTTGACTGCAAATCGACATTAACTGTATATCTCTTTACTCTCTGAATCTATTTTGACATTAAAAGACAAGTACTCTGGATGCATATTATTTCTCTGTAGCCAGTTTCAACATACATGTATTTTAGGTCTATACTATTTTTTTCAGGGGCAAAACTTTATATAATGTTGGAAACGGAAACTCTCCCCCCTTTTGACGTCATTTTCAAGGCCTCATTTGTTTAGACATTCGGTGTAAAATTTACGATAAAATTTCATAGAACTTCAGAATGAAGTGAAAATTTCATATTTTATAGAACAATTGGTCCTGACACATACCTGAATTAACGGGATTTTTGGATGTTAAATGATCATATCAAATGAGTTTTTCTCAGATACTCGTGGGTCGAAAAAACGTCGTTTTCGAGGTTGCGCCGCTTGGATATACCATTGCTTACAACAACATTACTAAGAGCATGAGCCACTTTGGGCCTTATTTGGCCCTGAGAATTTCTGAAAAATTAAAACTGCTCAGTTTAGGTTGCAAATACAGTACTTATCACTTGGAGTGTTGGTGACCACGAATCTAATAATCGTGACGTAATTTCCCATCTAGTCAATGCATTATGACGTCATAAAATGCGTCATTTTTCTTAAATCCTGTAAATTCCTTTGAAAATAATCGAAAGTTGAAGCATTTTTTCAATATTTCATATAGAGCACAACCTCTGATCCAAAATATGCAAATACATAATGAAAGCTATGTTTCTGAGAATCAAAATACATGTTTTACTTTTTGGATCGTGGGCTGTGCTCATATTTTAATTCTTTGCTGAAGGTAGTCAAATACGCGTGATTTCCGCAAATTTGAAGAACATTCCAATTTCTCAAACCTGTTTTCCAATATCTGGATTCTCAAAAACGAATTTTTGTTATAGAAAATGAAAGCAACAAGAGTCTACTTTATTTTGATATATGAAATGGGTAAGAGGGTGATAGTTAATTAATTGATATAAGTACAGGGCCGTTTTATGCATAAGATGGCTCTTGCTCTTTATTAAAAAAATAAAATTCATGATTTGTGGTTTATTCTTTGGATAGAAAAGATGATTCTTCCTAGATATTTCAAAATGCATTGATGTGCCTTGAGCGGTTTTAATTTTATGGCGCTAGTCCACGATCTTTTTGATAACCCCTCGTATATACAGGTGCAGTACTGTTAATTTTAGATTCCTATTTTTCCATACTGGTGGCACACAAAGCTGTTTTTGGAGTGAAATATGTTATGCTGGTTCTGAAATATCTATTAAATCATTTCTTTTACATTCTTTCAACGAATTGTGACAAAATTTTTAATGCCAGAAAAATCACATTTTGTGAGAGCAAATAGGTCAAATAATTAATTATGCGAAGCACTTTGAAACTTTTCAAGTGTTTTTTTTAAATAGATTAATCATAATTTATTTTGTTCCTTGCTTTATTTGAGGGAAAATATTGGAGGGAAAACGTCGAAGATGTAATTTCTATGAAGACACAAATTTCAGTGCAAAAACCTCATATTACATAGAGTGTAACGTCAAAAGAAGCATACTGACCCGCAGTTTTTGATTTGATTTTTAATTAAACTATGTGTGTAGAAACTAAAAGTATGCTTGACATAAGGTTTAAGGCTTTATATATCAGGAGCCAACGATGTAAAAGTTACGAATCTCATTATTTGAAAACTGGCCTTATTGTGATTGTTATGTAAAAATTAGACAGATAAATCATCTGGATTAGATATCATTAGCATTTTTCAAACTACAGAATCAAGAAGAAAAGTACATGTCAGCTGTAACTAGGTAATTTCCAACCATGCTCTTCAAACGAAAAAATAAACGGTAAGAAATAATATGCTTATATATCATAACTGATTTATATTTGTTATTCTTTAGTTTGTTCTTTTCCACTGTTTTTATTAGCACACCTGAGCTTAAAGCTCAAGTAAGCTTTTATATGATCATATTTTCTCTGTAGTCTGTCCGTCCTTCCATCTGTAAACTTTTCACATTCTTATTGGTCAAAGGGGGGGGGGGATATAGTTTTGGTCGTGTCCGTCCGCCTGTCTGTCTAGCTGTCTCTCTGCCTGTTTGTCCACAAAAACTTTAACCTTGCCATTAACTTTGATTTAGTGTAGCTATGGCTTTCATATTTCACTCGTGTATTTTTTATGACAAGGCACCACGAAATTTGAACTCTTGATCTAGAGTTTGACCGACTTTTACACAAAAATTCCACTTTTTTACTTTGTCCATATCTTTTGAGCAGTAGATACCAAAACTTCTTTACTTCATATATATATATTTATATTCTTTATGAAAAGATCTTTCATTGAATATCAACATCCTTGACCTTCAAGATTTCCGTATTTATGAAAACCTTTGAACAGTAAGGACTAGTGCTTTAATACTTCACATAAGTAATTCTTTTGAGGAAACCTTTTATTGGATACCAAGAAATTTAACCCTTTGATCTTGACCTTGAAATTTGACCTACTTTTCGAAATTGGTAACCTTGACCATTATTTTTGAAGGGTTAGGTCTAGGGCTTTCATACTCACAGATGTTTTTCTATGACAGGACCTTCTATAAGATACCCAAAACCTTACCCTTTGGACAATGACCCTGGAGATATATGTTATTATGAAAAAACTTTAACCTAGGTCATAACTTTTGAGCGCTAAGGGCTAGTGCTCGCATACTTCACATATGTAATCCTTGTGAAAAGACCCTTTATTGGATACCAAGAACTCTGACCCTTTGATCTTGACTTTGGATTTTGACATACTTTTAAAAAAACAAACCTTGATCATAACTCTTGAAGGGTAGGGCCAGTGCTTTCACACTTTTCAAATTTAATCCTTGTGACAAGACCTTACATTTGAAATCACGAATTATTATGAATTATGACCCTTTGATCTTGACCTTAGAGTTAGACCTTCTTTTTTTCAAATTGGTAACCTTGGCCATAAGTTTTGAAGGGTTAGGGCTAGGGCTTCCATACTTCACATATGTAGCACTTTCTTTGTGGCAAGACCTTTTATTGGATATCAATTACCTTGACCTTGGAGAATTCCGTACTTATCATAAAACTTTAACCTTGGCCTTCTTTCATATTTCAAAATTGTATTTCCAGAGAATACCCTACTTTGAATACCAATATATTAAATTTGCATCTAAGAGGCGGGGGGATCATTTAGTGAGCTCATTGCTCACAGTACCTCTAGTATTTATTTTTTGCAGAAAAGAGAGAGAAAACACAGAACTACGATTAAGCTTCGGACACCTCCATATTACATTAATCGGCTCTGTTTCTACTATTTGTCTCTTTCTGTTAGTGGTTCTACTCATTGGACATATATATGGTATGTATATCACTGCATTACTACCTTTTATCACAAATTGAAGTAAGCAT